CCCCCGCCCCCCCCCCCCCAGCAAGGTACTTAAGGTACAGATGCCAGACCCAAACTCCAGAGACTCAGTCAATCTGGCATGGGGCCCAGCAATTGCCTTTTAAGAACCTGCTCCCTGGGCATTTTTGATAGATGTTCAAGTAGCTCCTCTGTCTGTCTTATTACTCTTTCTTCAATACTGATCCCCTCTGACCTTCTGCTTATTATCCAAACATCTCACTTTCATTTTCTGCTTCCCCACCTCTTACCCAAGTCTCCATTCCCTTATGTCCCATATCACACCAACTCAACCTCCTCATGGTTTTACACTCTGGCTTGTCAGCTTCTCCATCCCTAACCTGCTTGGCCTTGCCCATGGCTGCCCGCAGTTCCTCAGGACCAAGTCCTGGGTCTCCAGCAAATAGTGACAGGCAGTCCTCAAAATCTGAGAGTTCCATCTCTGTGATCTGTGTGGCAGACCAGGCTGCTGGGAAGGTCCCTCTTATGTCCGCACAGTTTGGTATAGGCTCTGAAGACAAAAGGCAGAGACAGGATCGGTGTAATTCTAAATCTATTATGTCTCCAGTGGTATTTGCAGACTATTTAGCTTCTGGAGGACAGAGCAGTATGGGCAGCATGGGTTAAGGAATGATGATAGTGAGAATTATAGAGCTCAAAGGGTACTTAACAAAAGTGACTGAATGTGACAAGGCCATCCTTTGTTAAATGGAGGACAGAGGAGATTGCTCAGGTATTTAATGAAATAGCCGAATTAGAACCCAGGTCTCTAGCATCATGATGCTCCTTCTGCCTAGGGATTTCCCCAACAGAGAGCACCACACTTTGCTAGGCCAGAGAGAACAAGAAAATGGGATTCTTGGCTAAATTGTTGTTTTGTTTTGTTTTGTTTCATTTTGAGACAGGGTCTCATGTAGCACAGGTTGGCCTTAAATCTGCTACGTAGCTAAGGCTGGCCTTGAATTCCTGATCATCCTTCTTCCACTACTAAGTCTTTGTATGCCACCACACCTGACTTTAAACATTTAATGGGCTATAAACTCCCAGGATTATAGACCCTTACAACGAGAAGAAACCTGGAATACCATCTTCTAACCTTTGTGCTTTACTGATGACCAAAGCCCAGGGAGCAGGAAATCTGCTCAGAGGGCCCGGCACACCTACATACAGCCCAGCCACCCACCCCACTGTGGTGCCAGGGATGGAACCCAAGGCCTTGTAAATGGCAGCCAAAGCTCAGTCACCCGCGGTCACCCACCCAGGCTTCCAATTGCATTGTTTGCCTTGACGCCTTCTCCCCCACACCCTGCTGGAGTATTTGGGGGAGCTTCACCTTGGAGCCCCTCAGCAGCTGGTTGCACAATCCCAGCTACTAGAGCTGCTTTCTTGTGGGCAAGCTGTGGCCCCCCACACAGATGCCCCACTCTGCTCTGCTCCCAGCTCTGCTGCTTTTCTAGAAGCCGCTCCAGGGTCTCTGGGCCCAAAGCTTCCTGCAGGGAGAGTACAGGGAAGGAAAGGCAATCTGGCAGTCAGGGCCGGGAACTCTGTTTTCAAGACCTATCTATTATCAGGGCTGAGGGCTCTTGCCTGGAAGCCCAGCACTTGAGATGCTGAGGCAGGATTGCCATGAATTTTAAACCCACCTGGGCTACAGAATGAATTCAGGCCAACCTGGCTGTCTCAAACAAACAAAATTGAAAACAAAAGCCCTGGCTTTGTGTAGCAGTCCCCCCAGACACAGACTGTGCTTCCTTTGCCCTCCTTCACCTAGCTCCTAAGAGCCACCCCTCAGTCTCCTTGTTCCTTCACCTCACCCTTGGGATCAAGGAAATAGCCTCAGTAGACAGAGTGAACACCAGGCGTCCAGCTTGCTCTACTTCGTCCTGGCTCCACGACTCTGGTCTCCTGTGGGGACAGATGGGACAGCATGGAGTTGAGTGAACTGTGAGGAAAATAAGACATTCTGAGCCTGGGGACTCAAAGATAGGGACTCCACCTTTAAACATGTGGAATGGGATGCCACTCTGGCTGATGGTCAAGGACCTGGGTATAGGATGTTACCAAATGGCCATACCCAAGAACAGGCTCCTGCAACAGCAGCCGTCCCAGCTCTGTGGCAAATGTTTCTCCTAGGCAGAAGCCCTGCAGCTGACTGAGACGGGACAGTAGGATTGGTAAAGGGATCCGTCGTGTGCTCTCTCTTCCCAGGAATCCAACCAAGGGGCCCAGTGCGTCCAGCACTTCTTCAGAGATTGGTGTCTCCTTTGGAGCCTGGAGAAAGGCATCAAGCCTTGGACAATGCACCTGACCCAGAGTACCAGACTCTTTGATCAAGACACCAAATCCCTTGACCCTCCCTCTCATCCTACTTCCAGCTAGCTCAGTCCCCAGGAAGCCCATTGCTCTTGGTCACTGCTTTAAATAGTGAGTGAGCTCAGCCAGAAGCCGATAGAAAGACTGAGAGGCACAATCCAAAGGATTCCTTAGACTCCAAGGGACATGAACATGAAGCATGAAGCAGGTTGATCAAAAAATGGAGAGGCAGATCTAGAAGCCAAGGCGGGTGGGTAGGCTAGCAGTCTAGGGCTTGGGCCTAGCAGTGAAAGAACGCCATTTGAGGAGCAAGGATTACCAAGGACAGCAGCTCTGAGTCTGATGGGATGGACTCTTACCAGGTTTTTTAGCGCCCGCTCTGCCAAGGCTGCCTGGTGGGGTGGGGTCAGTGTCAGCAGCTGCTCTGGGGCGCCTTGGACCAACTCTACCACCAACATAATGGAATCACTGGACAATCTGTCCATCAGCTGGATCCTGTGATTGAAATTTGACAGTGGTGACACTCAAGTGGAATTGAGCTAAGCCAGGAAGGGATCATCAAGCCTCACATTCCTAATATCAGACCTACACCTGTGACTCTACACAGAACTAATATTCAACAGCCCTGAGCCAGTTCCCACAATGTACTTTAAGGGTGAGAACAAAGATAGTGGCTATCCTTTGAAACAACCATAATGATATGATGAACTCAAAAGCCCCAGATATTAAACACTGTTCAAAACTCTTAGTATTCATTTACAAGTGAGGAACTCCAGTTTTCTGACTCAAGGTCCAAGGTCTTTTACCTCGGCTGGGTTCTGGGAGTTCTACATTATCTTAGAGAACCAACATAAAGAGATTTAAATGTCCTTTAAAAGAAACAAAACAGGAATCAGAAGTGGTACCTGTACTCTATTATATAGAAAAGGGCCAAGTGTATGAGAATCAAAATCTACAGGAAATCTTGCAAACATGTAGGTACGGGCATTAGCTGCTTTCACCATCCGCACATCTCCAGGAAGTCTTTAACTCCAGCCTTTCCCTACTCTCACTTGCAGCTCAGATGGCAAGGGACTGGGAAAATGAGACAAGAAGCACATGGATAAGGTACTCATAAACTAGAGGCTGGAGAGATGGTTCAGTGGTTAAGAGCACTGACAGCTCTTCCAGAGCACCAGGGTTTGATTCCCAGGACCCACGTGGCAGCTCACAGCCATTTATAACTCCTGTTCCAGGGGTCCAACACCATCTTCTAGCCTATGTGAATACCAAGGATGTACTTGTTATATAGAAATGCATGCAACAGAATAACCATACACATAAAATAAAATAATAAATTGTTAAAAATCTTTAAAAAAAAAATTGAATGTGGTGACACATGCCTTTAATCCTGGCACTTTGGAGCCAGAGGCAAGTGGATCTCTCAGAGTTCCAGGCTAGCCTGGTCTACACAGTGAGTTCCAGGCCAGTGAGAGCTACACAGTGAGACCCTTTTAAAAAGATACTGATAAACTAGAATCTCTGGGATGGGGGAAACCTCTTACCTGGCCTTCTCTCCCCCAATTCACTGTTGAGCCTTATCTCTAACCTTCCTTCCATGGAGCCATCTTGCTTAGGTTTGGTGACACCAATGATCTATTTCAGTTTCATTACATTATACAAAAAAAAAAATCTGATTTTTATCTTGTTAATCCTAGTCTTGCTCCATGGAATCACTCACAAGTAGACCTCTACACTTCCTATTTGATAGCTTCTCAGGGCCTTGGGGGCTTTTTAACTCACTTCATCCCCAGCCCCCATCCACCCCTCCGAACATACTGAAAACATAAGGTGCCAATCAGATTACAATTCTCCAGGACATGATAGACCATTTCCTGCTTCATTACAGTTACTATACACCCATTAATGTAGACTACATTCACCAGATGGCCACAACACAGTATTGCCGGCCTTAGCTATCCTGCGCCAGGGCCATTCTTGGGAGCTGATGGATATGAGAAACCACTTTTAAAGAGTCCTGTTTGGGACTATAGATGCTGTCAGGAAAACACTAAACAAAGAGCTACCTCTTCGGGATATTTCCCCAGAGGGAGCTTCTTCTCAAAGGTGAGCACCCTGAGCCCCCATACCTCCAGCCATGCACTTACGGTAAGTCCAGGAGTAGCTTTGTGTCGAGCTCACTCAGTTCTGGCCCCAGGGTAGTTAGCTCTGGCTCTGGCTCTGGCATGGTCACCCTCCGCTGTAGCTCTGCCCAGATACAGGCCCGCTGGGAGGTATTGGGTAGGAAAGGCAGGATCAAGACAGAGCTGAGCATGGAGGCTGGGATTCTGAACCCACCTCCCACTAATGCCTAAGCCTCCCTCTCACCAGGCTCCCTCGAACACCAGTGGGCAGTTGGTAGAGCATGTGTACCACAGCAACGAAGTCGACCATTGAGCTGATCTGCTGCAGAAACTCACAGGACATTCCTCCTGCGAGGTTGCCCAGAGCCCTGTGGGCATCGAGTGGGAAGATACTCTTTAGCACATGTAATAGCCTGCCTGATCCTTAATATCAGCACTCTCAACACAAAGACAGATGTTCATTGATAGTCATCTACAGTTTGTGAAATGTTTGCACACAGATAACATCATTGGCTTCCCATAACATCATCACTGTTTAGCAGTGGGAAAATAATGATCTACAAAGGTCAAGGGATATTCTTAACATCAGTCTACTAGAAGTAAGTTGAGACTAGAGCCATGTCTTCAGATTCCAAAGCCCCTGGTTCTTTTACTGTAGGTGTAAGTAAAGTGATACCTACTTCTTTCTCTAGTGGCTCTAAAGTCACCTTGAATTAAATTAAGAACAGCAAATGTCTATTAGGAGTTTCTACTGGGCCAGGTACTGTGATAAAGTATTATATGCCTTAATCTCATTCAAGCTTCACAATAACTTTTAAATTTCTCATTATATAAAAGAAAAAAATCTGAAGCTTAGAGTGACTTAGAGACTTGACTCTCGGTAAGAAGGATGTGACATGAGCCCAAGTTTTCTGAGTCCCACAGCAATAGCTGGGAGAGCTGTAGCACTGTGGAGGGAAAGGAGGAAAGCAAGGTAAGGGAAGAGAACCAGAATGCTGGCGAGGCTGGAATAATAGCCCATCCCTGTATCCCTGTGTGTCCCCATCACACAGTGCCAGACATATAGTGAGCACGTCATAATAACAACAACAATAAAAATGCCAACTGAATTGAGACAAATGTCCAACACCAGCTACTCACTGCAGATTCCTGAGGGTCAGGTTGGTAGGCACTTGCATCTTCTTCCAGAGAAACTGTGCCTATAGACAGACAAAGAGGGAACGGCTTCCCAGCAGAGGTACTGTCCTGAGGACCTCAGAGGGAAGCATGAGGCCGGATTTCTTCACTTTGTGATTCCTACCAGCCCCCTTCCCCAAAGACCTACTCCAAGAGAGAGAGAGACAGAGAAAGACAGAGACAGAGACAGAAACAGAAACAGAGGCCAGTGATAAGGGATAAGGTATCAGAGCAAGGGCAGAGTAAAGGAAGTGTAGAAGACAGAGGTTGTACTCAGGGCAGAAGAGTTACCTGCTGCTCAGACCAAGGCAGCTGCCGATAACGCCTTCTATTTGCCAGAAGAACCGCAGTATCCAGTTGTAACAGCTTTAATGGGAGCAGGGGAAGCAGGCAGTCTGGCCAAGTGGTGGGGATGGGCTGCTGGCAGGGATGGGTACAGCAGTGCAGTGATAGGTGAGAGAGTCTGCACTAGCCCTCAGGGAAGAGCAGAAAGTGGTCAAAGCCAGGATGGGGTGGAATGGCATTTGCCATCGCAGTAATGAATGCTTAGATACCCTCATGCTACAGGCTACTGCAGCTGTGTTGCGCTAGTTAGACACCTGATGAACAGAGGTCCCCTTGCTTCTCTCAGCCTTAGTCAGTTCATCTGAAAGCAGGAGGTTGGTCTGGAAGATGCCAGGCCTTCTGGCTTTGACAGTGTAGGATAATGGGAGTGGTAGTGTTCTGCATTAGTTAAGTGGGATGCTAAAATCTACGTGGAGGGGTGGGGGAAGAGGGATGGGGTGAGGAGAAGGAGAGGGAGAAGGGACTTACATGTGAAACAAGCTTGTTCCCTAACTTGAATTAATAAAAAAAAAAAAGAAGAAAAAAATAAAAAAATATCTAGGTGGGTACAGAGCTAAACTGAACTTTCAGGGCCACTGTAGGGGGAGTGTTTGAGGTAACACCAACCAGATGAAACCACCCAGAACACTGAGATGTGCTCAGTCTGGACAGCCCACACATACCTGACCAGGAATGCACACAGTTGTGCCAGCACCTGTTGCACCCACATTTTTAAAGCCATCTTTTGCCTGCATAAGAATTAGTAGTATTTGTGTGGGGGGAGGGTATGTGCATGTGCATCCCCCTCTCTCTCTCTCTCTCTCTCTCTCTCTCGCTCTCTCTGTGTGTGTGTGTGTGTGTGTGTGTGTGTGTGTGTGTGTGTTTGTGTGGTCTCTGGCCACAAGGAAGATGCCCACCCCCTATGTACCACTCATCTTCTACTTATCTCATTCTCCTTTCCTCATACCCGGAAGGTCTGCAGCAGTGCAGCAGTCTGGCAAGCAGAAAGTCTTGACAGTTCAGGGCCCAGGCAGGAACAAGCCCCAACCAGAACTCGCTTAGGGATGGCCTGGAGTGTCTGGGGGCTGAGACCTGGCAGCAGAGGGTGCAAGGAGCAGAGTTCCTCCAGGGATAGCTAAGGAACAAGAGACAAGAGGTCTGAAGGTGGGGGGGAGGGTGGAGAATGTTAGGGAGACAATAACCCTGTACATCAGGGCAATAGGTATGAGGGGAGCTGAGAGTGGGGACAGAGCCAATGCCAGAGCCATGGGAACAGGGCACAGAGCCCTCTAGGAGATACCGAGAACTTGATGCTACTCACATCCTGCCTAGGGAGGAGCCTTCCAAACAACAAAACAGCCTGTAATGGGATGGAACAGGAATCAATAGCTCTCAGTTCCTATCAACCCAGTTCCAAACAGGTTCCTGGAGCTGCCTCTAAGGCTTCCAGGTCCCTCTCAGCCACCCCGGGGACCAATCTCTCTGAGGGCCCTTCCTGAGTTGAGAAAGGGGAAGGAGGCATATTTTGTTCACCTTCAGCATTTACCCTGGGAAAGGAAGGGCTGATGATATCTCTACATATGACTCTCATGACTGGGGCTTCGGGGAGTAAGACAAGCCCACCTGGGCAGGTGTGACACTGGCTCCCTGTAGGGCAGGAAGCATGGCTCTAAGCTGGGGCTCTGACAGCTCCTGCAGGAAGCGGAGGCCCAGCTGGGGAAAGAGAGGTGCCCAGACCCGCAGCTCTCGGGGGCTTAAGACAGTTCCTCCAGAAGAACGCAATACTCCCAGAAGTTCATATGCCACCTGTAACAAAGGAAGGCTTGGGATGGTGGAGGAGACACAGCTGTATGCAGGACTGCCTTTCCAAACTCACATCTGGATTTACCAGAGCTTGGGCTAGTACTTGGAACCAGGAATGAGACCAGAGTAGAACTGGTTCAAGATCACAAAAGGAGTCATTGGGTAAGGCTAGGAAGAGATGCAGAGAGGCAAGAATGAGTAGGCACTAGGGAACAGAGATGGCGAGCGGTGGGATTGGGAACCCACACCACTGTGCTTGAGTTTGGTTGGTGCAACTGGGCAAGTCACTCATACGGTCTCTGGGAAGTCTGGAGTCTTTCAGGTTTGCACCAAGGGGCTCACCCGTCCTTCTGGCCGGAGTGTCCCATTGGCCGCACATTCTAGCAGGCCCTGTTCTACGGGCCCCATTGGATCACTCAAGGGCACCAGACTCTGTAGCTCCTCAGGACTCAGGAAACATGCGAGGGACCCAAGCCTGAAGGGGGCACAAAGTTGGCCTCGATGTGGTCACGGATACTAGCACCTGGGCACGAACTATTTGGTACCTAGAGTAGGCCAGTAAACTAAACTAGGAAATGTGAACACCATCTCAGAGTCCCTAGACTGCCAGGAACATGTCCTCTTTGCCCCTTCCTTCCTAGGATACCGTCCCTGCTTCTTTGCCACCTCCATGCATGGTCACTGATTCCACCACCACCACTTGCCTGCGCACTTGCTCCTCGCCATCCTCCATGCTCTGGTTTACCAGGCTACGAAGCACATGTCGGGCATGGCCTGGCCCAAGACCTGCCACTGGCCAGCTGTCCTCCAGGGCCTGGATCTGAGATGGAGAAGGAGAGGTGAGGTAGCGGTGAGACAGAGACCCCACTGGGCAACATGCTCCTGACTCCCTTCCCATCTTGAGGAGGATGGGGCGATCACATACATAACGATGATCCTCATACCTGGTGAGGGCTGAGCTGTAGAAAGTTCTCCAGGGGGAGGTGGGGAAGCAGAGGGAGCACTGCCCACAGCAGCTCCTGGGGCCAGTCGGGCACTTCTCCAAACAGCTCGGGGGCCAGTAGACGCTTAGCCAGGGCCTCCTTCTGCTCGGGCTTCATTCCTGAGCTGTGATCCCGGATGGCAGCCAGGCTAAGGAGAGTAACGGGTCTTAACGTTTTTCTTATATCCTCTCTGCTGTGGACAGGAAAGAGACGCCTCCTGGTTTAATGGAGAGGAGCTCTGAAAGGGACCTCTCTAGGTGGACAGAAGCAGGAGTGATGCTTACACGCTGTCATTGGCCAAAAGGGATGGTGGGAAACGCATCAGGTCAGGGACAGCCAAGAAAGGGATGAGTGGTGACAAGTCAATGAAGAGCTGGGAGGTGAGGTGTGGGTACCGCTGAAGCAGCAAGGCTGTCAGGCGACCCATGGCCTGCTCCTCAGACGGCGGAACCTGTAAGAACATAGAGATGGGTGCTGCCTCTGAGGGCATTCAGAATCTTCTGCCACCTCCTCTTTGGGGTTCCTCATGTCACTTAAGAAATCCCCCCGGAATACTAGGGTCTGGGTGCCTTTGACCTCTTTATTCCATCTATTCTTGTTCCCCTACCCTCTCTGCCCACCTTCAGCTGAGCCCAGGAGCGATGCATGAGCGTCAGGAATCCCTGTGCAGCCTCCATCTCGGCTGAAAGCACCAGCTGCTGAAGGTCTTCCGGAGGCATGTGCAGGTAGGCCTGGCAACAGCAAGCAATGGTGGGTAAGACCTCGATGGCCGGGGATCTCAAGCTACAGCTGTCACTCAGCCACCCATATCCCCCTCCCCCCCACCTACTACCTGTACTAGTATCTTCAGGGCCCAGACACTCCTCTCCCTCTGGAGTAGGTCCCACAGTACAGGCTGGTGGGAAGAAAATACAGGAAGAGAGCTGTCTCTTTGATCCTCCTAAAGCTTCCCCCAGGGACTTTAGCTCTACTTGTGAGGATGCTTGCATGCTCTCCCTCTGAAGTTAGCATGTGCATCTCTTCAGATGGTAGACCCCATTCAGTCTGGGACCACATCTTAACTTCTCTTGTACAGTCTCCTATGCCAGGCTCATAGTTGGCTCCATAAATATCTGTAGGCCTGAACCAAACTACAATCACTTTATCTAATTCCATTTCACTCAGTCTAGGGCTTGAAATAGTGGCCCTAACATGAACTAACAATATCTCACAAAGTGCCTTTACATAACAGATATTCATTCGACGATTTGATGGTGAAATTTAACACACTGTAACCTCCTTTGTCATACAGAGAAGACTCTACAACAGGAAAACATCACTTGCCTACGACCACAACCATTTATGTGATATGTGAACCTGAACAAAGTCCTCTGATCTGTTGTCCCTCAAAACTTTCCTTTTCATTCTGACTTTGCAACCCACAATTCTTTCTCACTTCTTAGGGAGAATATTAAAATCCTTTCCTTCCTGCAGCAGAACACAGGAGGGTCACAGTTTGACAGAATAATGAGATGAAGTTTATTGCATGTTTATATGAATCATGCACTAGGTTAATCCCACAGCATGTAGCATTCCATGGAGTCTTTGCAACTACCCCAAAAGTTAATAACTTGTTACGCTCAGTTTATAGATGAGAAGACAGAATAACCTGCCTGAGGTTGACAGCCCAAACCTGTCCGGCTCTACAGCTGTGTGCTAAAATCCCTCTGGGCACTACCCCTCTTCTCTATATTACAGGAACTTCCTGGAGTCCCTTTCTTTGCTCCAGGGGCTTTTACAGAGGCAATTCACTCACACTGAAGCAGGATAGAAGCTCCATCTTGCTCATACTAGAGCTGAGACTGACAGTGGACTCCAAGCCTTGTGGGGCTGGCTTTTCTCGCTCCAGGTACTCCCCGACTGTCCTCAGAACGCTTCTCCGACCCTCTGGGCGGAAGGTATCCCAGAAGGAACAGTTGTCTGGGAGACTAGAGAGCAGCAGAGCTTGACCCAACATCCCCTGAGTCTCAGCACCCCCAGCCCCAGGACCCAAAAGGAAGGTCAGCAGGCGCAGGAGATAATGCAGGCGTGTGGGGTGGGCGAGGGCTGGCACAGAGGACTGACATCGTGGCAACTGGGATAACATGCCAAGCAGAAAGGGACCAGGAGCCAGACAGAGTGGGGATGGTCCTAGAGGTGGCAGAGAAGGCAGCAAAGGGCCCAGCATGCCTTCTAGAAAGCAGGTGTCATTGCCACCACGACTTATTCTGCACTGGCCTGCTAGCCAAGCCCAGAAGGGAACCAAGGCCTCATACATGGTGTCATTGGCACAGACCATGAGCAGGAAGCTTCCCCCGTCTGGGCAGCGTTCTCCACAGGGTCCAACGTGGCAAGGTGGGAAGTCAGTGGGATCCAAAGTGGGGCCCTGACATACATGCTGAACCCAAGCCTGGTTTCGGGGGGGCACAGCCTGCAGACTCTCCTCCACACACAACCGTTCAGCCCACAGTGTGTCATTCTCCAGGAAGCAACCCCAGAATATGTCTGGGGTAAGGGGCACAGGGACCAAGCCTTTGGGGCAGCTGGTGGGGGGTGGGAGCAGACCAGCACAGAGTTGCTTTACCAAGCGACGATTAGGGCCAGACAGGGCAGAAAATGAGAGGTTGCCACAGATCATATCTAGAAATTGATCAGGAAACTGATCATGGCAGGCTTGGAGCCAACCTTTGGCACGTGGTGCCCATGAGACTGCATACCATACAGCTGTCTGGCAGATGACAGCAGTGCTAGGAGGGGGCTGTGGAGTAGCAGGAGGAGGCTGTGGGGTGGCAGGAGGGGGCTGTGGGGTGGCAGGAGGGGGCTGTGGGGTGACAGGAGGGGGCTGTGGGGTGGCAGGCTTGATGTGCTGGCAGAGCAAGTAGATAGAGAAGTTAGAAATGCTGTAGGGTGGTTCTGGGCCTGAGTGGTTCTCGCAGAGGGCCTCCACAGAGATGGCACGCCGCTGTCGAGGGCTGATGTGAGCTGCAGGCTGGGAAGCCCTGGGCAGAGGCACACCTGTGCTCAGGCAGTGCAGGAGGGCAGGGGGTGGAGGTGGTGATCCAGATAGAAAGCCCAGCGCTTGGGCATCCCAGGAAAGGTTGTTTCGCATGCCCCTGGGTGCATAGGGAGGAGCAAGCAGGATGTGATGAGCCCACATTTCCTCCAGTTGAGCTCTGCAAGGGGTGTGGCAAGCATAGGCTTTTCCTAAAGTAAGCTCCCTGAGAATATAGGCATTACTGGCGTGGATACTAGGACGGAGGAAAGGACACAAATCTATGCTGCCAAGGCACTCTCCTGTCCTGTTGCATCCTTTTTCCTTTCTCCATCTGGTTTTAGGTAGCTTACATACAACCCTTGTTTGACTTCATATCAGGAAATTATCCTGACAACTGAATATGTCTAACTTGCATTGTTGTCCTGAAATAGTGGAGTCCAGTGGTCTGTGACCCCTCCCAGCCCCATCTTTACTAGCTAACACGTATAGGCACTATATGCCACACTATTCTAAGTGGTTTATACTTCATCAACTCTCTCTCTTCCTCCCTCCCTGTCTCTCATTCTCTCTTTGATTTTGGTTTTGGTTTTCTGAGGCAGGGTTTCTCTGTATAGGCCTGACTGTCCTGGAACTCACTCTGTATACCAGGCTGGCCTCAAACTCAGAGATCTGTCTGCCTCTGCCACCCGAGTACTGGGATTTAAAGTGTGTGCCACCATGCCCAGCTTTTTTATTCCTCACAACAACTCTGCAGTAGTGATTACTTTGCTTTACAAATGGGGAGAGTGAGCATAGGTCATATGACAACTAGGAAGGGTTGAAAACCAACCCAGGCACTCACACCCCAAATCACTAATCCACATTTCTGTTGGTTTCTGTCTGAGTTCTGGGGACTAATGCCTTCAGTGTTTCACCTACAGGTTGCTCAGCCCCAACTTCCCAGAACAGGAGGTCTCCTGTTACTTACCATAAGAGCAGCTGTTGAAGATTCCCTAGGAGGGAAAGAGCAAGGAAGAAAACAGCCATAATCGCAGCTTCTTTCCCTGCTACAGCCCTCACCTTGGCAATACTCACCTCCCTGGCACTTCCCATTGGCATCAGGCTCTGGCTGTCCCATGATAGAAAAGACCTCATCCTGCAGAGAGTGAGTGACACGGAGTAGCCCCTCCTGGAAGGCAGCATAGAGGGGGGCCCCCACTGTGCGTAGCAGACCACCCCAAAGAGCCTCCTCAGAGCCCAGATCTCCTGTTGGAGTAAGCAAGCCCAACAGACCCTGTAAAAAGTGAGGCGCTGGCTCTCTCCCATCAAGACCTGTGGCATTGGTTGGCTCCACACTAGGCTGCAATTGCACCAGGGCCTGCCAGCGTGTACCCTCTAATAACAACATCAGAGAAGGCAGCCAGTCAGCAGCTAGGACACAGTCAGAGGGCCCATCACGGGTGCAGGGGGGCCTCGTGGGAGCAGGGGGGCCTCCAGGAACCAAAGCTCCCAACAGCACCTCTACAAGTCCACCCAGTACACCTGCCTGGTGCACCAAAAAGTCCCGAGGAGTCTGCTCCTGTCCCAGGAGTGCCAGCACGTCTCCCAGAAGCCCTAGCATTGGCTCCCAGTCTGGGCTACCTCTCAGTGTCACGAGGAAATCATGGAGTCGAAGCGCAGGTGGCGGGAGAGGTGGGGGCTCTCCCACTGGTCCCTCCCCCATCCTCCCAAGCTCAAAAGAAGATGAAATGTTGGCCAGGAATGCAGAGAACCGTGACTGGCTGAGGGAACGCTGAGGAGCTTGGTCCAGCGTGGAGATGAATGACTTCAGAAGGGAGAGACCAGAATCCGAAGACTGAGGCCCAGTAGGGGCCAACTTCACTATAAGAAAAGAGATGAGAAGTCACTAAAGGAGAAAAGCCTAAAGCCCAAAGTGGCTTTTCCCCCTGCACTTCTGAAGATAAAGGGAAATGAGCCCTGGCATGTGACTACCACAGTGTTTCTCAACCTGTGGGTCACAACCCCTTTGGGGTAGAATGACCTTTTCACAGGGGTCACCTAAGACCATCAGAAAACACAGATATTTACATTATGATTCATAACAGTAGCAAGATTACACAATGAAAATAATTTAATGGTTGGGGTCACCACAACATGAGGAACTGTATTAAAGGGTGGCCGGGTTAAGAAGGTTGAGAACCAGTGCTCTACAGTAAGTCTTGGCCTGCTCTCTGAACACTTAGTGTCACCTGCAACACCAATCTCTGCCTTCTTCCTTGTCCCTTTAGCTTTTATCTAACTGGCTAACCTTCACACTATTACTTATAGATTTTTTGAGACAAGGATTCTCTATGTAATCCAGGCTGGAATCAGTTCTCAATCCTTTGCCTCAAAGTGCTGGGCTAACAGGGACAAGCTACCATATTCAGCTAACCTGAACACTCTTTTCTTATTAAAGGGGAAGGTGGGGCCAGTGAGACACACACACACACACACACACACACACACACACACACACACACAGTCCTTAAAAGATGGGAAAGGTTATTCTCCTTCCTCCCCAGCCTACTCCACATTCTCACCTTTGTGTGAGAGCAGCAGCAGCAGCAGCAGGGGCCAGCGGCTCAGAGCCATGTTTCCAGACACACACTAGTCCTAGAGGTGAGTGCTTTTATTGTCACCTTGAAGGAATAGCCAGGTGAGGACAGGGCACTGTAGGCAGCCTGGGGCTCCTCTGACACTGTAGTATGGTCTCTGGGGAAACAATATCTGTAACCTGACATCAGGTTTGTCACCGGAGCCACTGAATACCTGATCCCTTGGCTTTGGGAGAAGGGTGTATTTCTGTAAGATGGACCAATGACCGGGGATTGCAGGGCCCTTGGGGCCAAGAGACAGCATGAGTTAAGAACCAGAGAGAAGCAGGGATACATGAGAACAGAAGAATAGAAATGTTATCTGGGGGGGTCTACAGAAAATGGTAAAAATCCAGAAAAGTGCTAACAAAGAGAATACAAAAGGAGCTTGACTCTCTCAGCCTAGACACACTGGGGAGGGTCTAGGCCCTGCTCTAAATGATATGACAGACTTTGAAGATCCCTCACAGAAGGCCTCACCCTTCCTGGGGAGCAGAAAGGGATTGGGATAGGGGGTTGGTGGGGATGGCAGGGGAGGAGGGGAGGGAGAGGGAGAGGGAACTAAGATTGACATGTAAAAGAAGTTTGTTTCTAATTTAAATAAAAAAGGAAAAACAAAACAAAACAATAAAAACAAAAGGAGCTTGAAAGGCAAAGGAGATTTGAGGAATTTGAGAAAGGAACTGGGCAGCCAGTGATGCACCGAGAAAATATATTAATTAAGATAGATCCATTTTAAGGGTGGAACATTCAGGAAGAAGAGAGCTATTACTTTAAATTCACTATCTAGAATCCCATAATATTGGTGCTGATGAGATGGCTCAGCAATTAAGGGTGTATACTGCTTTTGCAGAGGACCTAAGTTTGATTCCCAGCACCCATATTAGGTGGCTCACAACTGCTTATAACTCCAGCTCCAGGGGAATCTGATGTCTCTGGCCTTGGGGGGACAGCTATACTCATGTGCCCATACACGGAGACAACACACACATACACTTAAAAATAAACCCTTAGGATCCTGCAATATTAAGAGGTAGGTAGGGCTTCACAAAGCACATATGTAATTAACAGGTAAGGAAATAGACCCAGAGACCTTGCTGATCAGACCATCCAAGTATTGGGGTTTCTCTTTCTCTCTTAAATTAAATTCCCTACACATGGAATCCTGTTCATGGATTAGAAAGACTTGATTTGAAATAAACTGATCTGGCCAGGGTCTGGTCACTTTTTCTGATATAAAACTCCTGTGTTGCAGGGCTAGAGAGATGACTCAGCAGTTAAGAGCATTGACTACTCTTCCAGAGCACCCAAGTTTGATTCCCAGCACTCATACAGCAGCTCACACCATCTCTGATTCTAGTTTCAGGGGATCTGACCTCTTCTGGCCTCTGACAGCACCAGATATACACATGGTGCATAGACAAAAATGCAGGCAAAACACCCATACACACTATTGTTGTTATTTTATTTTTTGAGACAGGGTTTTTCTGTGTAAAATTCATGGTTGTCCTGAAACTCACTCTGTAGACCAGGCTGGCCTCAGACTCAGAGATCTGACTGTTTCTGCCTCCTGAGTGCTGGGATTAGAGGGGCTTACCACTATACTTGGCCATACACTTTTTTAAATTAAAATAAAACAAAATTAGGCCAAGCTGTTGTGATGCACATCCTTATTCCCAGCACTTGAAAGGCAGAGGCAGTCAGATCTCTGAGTTGGAGGCCAGCCTGGTCTACAGAGTGAGTTCCAGGACAGCCAGGACTACTCATAGAAACCCTGTCTCAGAAAACAACCCCCCTCCAAAAGAATATGTTGGTCTGGCATGGTAGTTTAAATGTAATTGATTCTCATAATCTCATAGTGAGTGGCATTATTAGGAGGCATGACTTTGTTGGAGTAAGTATGGCCGTTTTGGAGGAAGTGGGTCACTGTATAGGCAGGCTTTGAGGTTTCCTATGCTCAGGATACTACCCAGTATCTCAGTTGACTTCCTATTGCCTGCAAGATGTAGGACTCTCAGCTACCACATGCCACCATGCTCCCCATCATGATGACAATGGACTGAACCGCTGAAACTGCAAGCCAGCCCCAATGAAATGTTTTTCATTTATAAGAGTTGCTGTGGAACAGTCCTGAAGGGTTCCTGCTTCACTGAGAAGTCTGCCAGACACACTGTGGCCTATAGGCTGAAGATGGATGCCCCAACGTTACAGAGGAATTTTGGGTGACTGTCCAGGTAGTTAGATGTCTCTGTCAATTCTAGAGTTTATATATTATCCTTCTGTGGTCTTTGATGGAGTTGAAGACAGTTATGGTTATAGTTTTCTTTAGTTATTATAAATCGTAAGTTACATGTAAGCCTTTAGACTCACAAAGATAGGATAGATGATAGAATATTTTCTTTAAATCTTGCTAAATGTTAATGAACTAAATATCATAACTATAGCTCTTACTTGATAACTGCTTTGCTATACATTTTACTATGTTAATGTTAAAATCCTTTTTATTTAGACAGAAAAGAGGAGATGATGGGGGAAGTCCTTCTGTGTATATGTTTGTCTTATTGGTTGATAAAGTACTGTTGACTAATAGGGAAGCAAGTTAGGTGGAACTAGGAATCTAGGAGGATTCTGGGAAATGTAGTAAAGAGAAGTCTTGTGATCCAGGCAGGAAGTGACATAGCAGGCAGACTCAGAAGATAAGCAGGGACAAGCAGGAAAGCGCTCTCTTCGTCTTCCTCTCTTCTCTGAGCTGTTGACATGTGAACCGACAAGAGAGGACACATGCCGCCAGAGTCCTAGATCAGATAAGTCTTTATAAATATATAGATTAATGGCTATGGTTGATACTTAAGACAGAATAAGCATATAAGAAATCCTAATCATTGGCCAGCAGCATTGTAATTAAAAAAAAAAAGTTGCTGTGGTTGGCTGGAAAGATGGCTCACAGGTTAAGAGCACTGGCTGCTCTTGGAGAGATCCTGAGTTCAATTCCCAGCAACGACATGGTGGCTCACAACCCTCTTCTGGCCTACAGGCATATATGCAGGCAAAATACTATATACATAATAAATAAATAAATCTTAAAAAAAAGAGTTGCTGTGGTCATGGTGTCTCTTCACAGCAATAAAAACCCTAAGATAGTTGGGAATGGTGGCACATTCCTTTAATCCCAGCACTCAGGAGGCAGAGGCAGGATGATCTCTGTAAGTTTGAGTCCAGCCTGGTCTACAAAGCAAGTTCCAGGACAGCTAGGGTTATACAATGAGACCATCTCAAATATATAAATATATCCTATATTGTCCTTTATTTAAAATTTTTAGTAATTCATTTAATCATTTAACTTTATTTCATGTGCATTGGTGTAAAGGTACCAGATCCCCTGGAACTAAAGTTACAGACAATTGTGAGCTGCCATGTGGGTGTTGGGAATTAAACTCGGGTCCTCTGGAAAATCAGTGTTCTTAACCACTGAGCCATCTCTCCAGTCCCCACATGCCATGTATTGTAACCACAGCTGGGTTCTCTGCCTTGGAACTTTGGTATAGGTTCTTACAAGATGATTGGTAAGTTCCTAATATGGAAAGTCGGTGAACACAATTTATTTCCAGAAGTTGAGGATCAAGTGGCTATAGGTCTTGGCAATAGCATAGAGGGGACTTGAAATTTCCCAGGGTGGCAGTGCAGACCCTGGTCAAACATTACAGTAGATAATACTTACCAACATCAGTTTTGTAGCCATGGGAGCTGAGATACCATTGTCTCTGGGGGCAAGGTTGCCCTAGCTACGTTTCTGGGTTGCTGCCTAAACCTCAGCAAGAACCAGCTGTGCTAGTTTTCTAATTTGACACAAATGTAAACATACATGGGAGGAAGGAATCTCAAATGAGGACTTGCCTCCATTACATTGTCCAGTGGGCACATCTGTGGGGCATCTTATTAATGATTTATATGGGAGGACCCAGCCCATAGTGGGTGGTGGTTCTGGTTGGTTTCTTATAAGCAATCAGAACAAGCCATGGGGAACCCCTGGCATTCCCCTCTGATTCTGCTTCAGTTCCTTCCACCAGGTCCTGCATTGAGTTCCTGCCCTGACTTCCCCTCAGTAAGGACTGTAAGATGAAATAAACCCTTTTCTCCTCAAGTAGATTTTTTGTCAGTGTTTTATGAGCCATTAGAAAATCAAATTAGGGCACTAGCATTGATCAGTAGCACCCTGTAACCTTGGTAAGAAGGGATTGCTGATCTTGTTCCCTTAGTAGCCTTTTCACACAGAGAAAAATGGAGAGTTTGGTCAAGGAGAAGGCCCTTTAGATGGCAGAGACTATTTCTCTGAAACATAAAACGCCCAGTTTTGTATAACTGTGTTAGAACCCAACAGCCACAAATGTCTTGAACCAGGTTTGCCGGCCGATATCAGTAGGCTTCTGCACCAGCAGGCCAGTGTCAGTCAGCTTTTATAACCATCATGATCTTCAACGCTTCACCTTTGAGGAATCCCAAAGGGAAAGTCAAGCCATCTCAGACACCTAGGTGGAAGGAAAAAGACAAACTTTCTCCAGGAACTTGGAGCTGATTCTTCATGTAATTGACAGTTTAGAGAATTGCTCCTTGTCTTCTACTCTGCCTCTGTGAGCTCCAGAGCACTGGAGCCAGCCCTGACCTTGATACCTGACCGTTCCTAGGCTACTAAACCTCAGCAGATGCCTGGCATCCATGACTGAACCCCTGGGGCCACTGGGCCTTTCTGCTGCCTAGTGTAATCTGTCCTTTGGTGTTTCACCAGAGAAGCAACTCCATCTTTCTTTTATATGCCCCTGTGGGTCTTCACTTGACTCTAGTTCTCAAAAGCAATTTATAGTGAAGATCTCAAACTTTCCCCCTGTTCTTTCCTTAAAATCTTTCCCATTTTCTTCCCCAAACCCATGGGCTGGAAAGATGGTTCAGTGGGTAAAATGTCTGCTGCCAAGACTGATGACCTGAGTTCAATCCCCAGAATCTACATGACAGGAAGAGAGAACTAACTTCCACAAGTGTCCTCTACCTCCACATGCACACACACACACACACACACACACACACACACACACACCAAAATAGAAAAGGGTTTTTGTTTTAAGTTCCACAATTACTGCACAAGATTGAACCTCTCAACACTCTGTCATGGAAAAGGGAGGATTCTACCCCTCCCTGAAGATTTATACACAGTTAATGGTTAATGAAGGAGGAAGAGATATTTTCTACCACGCATAAGGTCCTATAAACATACCTTCACCTATGATCTGATAAATGACACTGATGAAACTCAGCAACCACAAAATTTAACAACAGCCAGGTGGTGGTGGCACACGCCTTTAACCCCAGCACTAGGGAGGCAGAGGCAGGCAGATCTCTGTGAGTTCAAGCCCAGCCTGGTATACAAAGCAAGTTCCAGGACAGCCTCCAAAGATACACAGAGAAACCCTGTCTCAAAAATCAAAACCAAAACAACAACAAC